CTTCCTCTTCTTGTCCCGCTCCCATACGGAGCTCTTGGTCCTTGCACAGATCCCACTGACTGCGCAGATGTAGCACGATCGGAAGGACATTGATAACCCTTGTGTCCAGGTTGACCACAAGTGTAGCATACAATTCTTACATATTGGGATGCCATTCTGCACGCTCCCATGTGCATCCTCTCGCAAACTAGGCAAGGCGGGTATTCGGCAGGCCTAGCGTTGGCAAGTGTAGTTGAACGTGCAATGCCTTGCCCGCTGTACGTTTGGTTTAACCTTCGAGCTAGGTTATTTCCGGCTGATTGTGAAGGCTGGGTGTGTGCCTTCCTCTTTTCGCTCTTCTCTTTCCATGCTTGCTTCTTTTCATCCTCTATGCATTCTCTCCTTAGTGCAGTCTGTTTGATACTGGTTACGTCAGTCATGTCTCCCGAAGATACTCCCCCCTTGATGTTTGGCGGAAGACCATCAAGGAATTGATCAGCTAGCCTCCTCTCCCGATCTTCCTTCATATCAGAGAGTTCAAAGAATCGCAAGTAGTAAGCCATGACCGTGTTATCTCCTTGCTTCTGGTTGTCAAACTCTCGCATTTTCTAGTTTAGCCATTGTCGAGGAATTTTTTTTTTGAACAAGACCATGAACTCCTGATATGAGATGGTTGGTGGAAAGGTTACTCCAGCCTTTTGAGATTTCCACCAACGCAGCGCATGTCCTTTTAAAAGCATTATCAACGCCTCCAGTCTCTGCCTCTCGTTGTAACGGAGGTAGTCAAATTGTACGTCCGTCTCTCTAAGCCAGTCGACAGCTTCTTGGGGATCTATCGACTCCCCTTTGAATTCGCGTAGACGGTTTTTGCACAATACTTCCATCGTCACTCCCGTCCCCTGTGGATTCCCAGCTGGAGGTGTGTAGCTGTTATGCTCCGATTGCTCACTATGGAGGAGGGAAAAATCAATTTTTAGTTATAGTTTAAAAGGTAGGTTTAAATAAAATCGTAGGAAACTCTTTCCCATCTCGTTCAAAAAATGCAGAAATAAATTTTCGGAATAATGCAACTGACTCAGACTATGCACACATCATCATGTTTTAGTCTCAGTCCCCAGCTAGGCTAGTGCAAGTACGGGTATGGAGTACCTCTCCCCTGCTGAGGGTAGTTAATCCTCAGGGGTGGAAGTAACATACCTATAATGCATAAAGCTAACCAGGCTCTGATACCAGTTGTAACAGCCCACCCTAAAACTCATGGGTCGAACCACTGGTTCGCCCGCACAGCAGAAAATACTAATGAGGTTTACGTATTAACTCCTCATTCAATACATATACATCTTTCTTTTACTAAACATAATTCGAGGTGAACATATATATATTTCAAATATAACACATTTATTAATATCCAATCTCGTTTATTAAACATACAACATCCAATTCATGACATCAAATCCAAACACTTGTTCGGTGAAACTCAAATCTCCATCTTACATAATTTGGTACAATCCATAAATTATAATAACTCAATCGATCAATTTCAATGCAATCAAACCTAACATAATACATGTTTATGATACTTGTTTGAAATCACAAAACATAGGTAAAAACTCTCCTCCGACCAATCGTTTGCTAGCTCATGATGGAGTAGAAGTTGCATAGCTCCAACGTCCAAGCTCAGTTCCTCTGCTGCGTATCTGAACACAAAAGGGGAGGGGGGTCAGCTAACTAATTTAGCTTAGATGTGGCGTTGTTCCCTCCTACACGGCGAAGTCTATGGATAAGTTTTCCACACCAATCTATTAACCACCTAATCATGGCATCTAGGTTGAAGTCTCAACCTAATATAATTCTCAACCTAGCATTCAATATCAAACAATATGCAAGTGCAATGCGTTTCCATTTTATTAATTTGGGTGCCAAGGTCACCATACATCCACCCCCGCTCGAGCCTCACAATCTCAGTGGTTATATCAGTAACCACAATCATATCTCTCTGGCCACTGGCCTCATCGATCCTAATGATCGTCAGTAACAATATCAAATGGTTGGGGGTAAATGCAGGCCCTTTCTCAGTCTATGTGATTAATATGAACATCATATAAAATCATCATTCTCATCATAACCTCAATATAATAATCATCCATCTCAATCAATCTTGGTGTAATTACCAAGTCTACGCTAAACGCCAATTTGTACATCTCATGCATACAATAAATTATCATATCATCCATCAAATTATCAAGTAGAAATTCATTCGCAAACATATTGTTATCATACATTCAACGTATAAGATGGGCGGTCAAATCCTCATACAGGGTTCATTAACCATTTAATCGGTGATAATCAGCGAGTAATTCGAATGGCGACCAGCGTGGGTGGTGTGTGGTGTCTTAAGCAGCTGGATGTCAAGAATGCATTCCTTCATGGGGACTTGAAGGAAACAGTTTACATGGAATGTCCACCTGGCTACTCGAAGGGAGATAAATCTCATCTTTGTTTACTGAGATGGTCGTTATATGGACTGAAGCAGGCGCCCCGTGCATGGTTTGACAAGTTCCATAGTACTATCCACCAGATTGGATTTCTTCAGAGTAATAACGATCCGTCCCTGTTTACTCGGCGCAGTGATCGCAGGTTGACTGTTCTTTTTTTCTACGTCGATGATATGGTGGTAAGTGGTGATGATGAGGATGGAATTTGTACATTAACTGCTGAGCTTCATTCTGCCTTTAATCTTAAGGAATTGGGAGATCTATCCTGTTTCCTTGGATTAGAGGTTCATCGATCTCGTGATGGTTTACTAGTTTGCCAGCAGAAGTACATTGTTGATCTACTAGAAACTGCTCATATGGATGATTGTGTACCAGTTGGGACTCCAATGGAGCAAAATCTTAAACTAAGCAAGGCTGATGGGGATCCTCTACCTGATGGCTCCTTTTATCGCAGTATAGTTGGGAGCTTAATCTATCTCACGCATACTCGGCCTGATATTTCGTATGCAGTTCAGGTGGTGAGTCAGTTTATGCAGACTCCTCGTACAGCTCATTTGGCTGCTGTTAACCGGATCCTGCGGTATCTGCGAGGCACTCAAGAGGTTGGCCTTCTCTTTCCTTCTACGGGAACTCTGACACTGGAGGCTTATGCAGATGCGGATTATGCTGGTTGTCTAGATACTCGTCGTTCTACTTCTGGATGGTGTGTTCAGGTAGGCCAGTCGTTCATTTCCTGGCGGTGTAAGAAGCAGGACCGAGTCTCTAAATCTTCCAGTGAAGCGGAGTATCGCTCCATGTCTGAGGTTACATCGGAGTTAGTATGGCTTTGGCGCTTATTGTCGGAGCTTGGGGTAGAGTGTACTATTCCGATGCGCTTGTATGGTGACAATACAAGTGCTATTCGCATAGCTACCAATCCTGTTCTTCATGATCGCACGAAGCATATTGAGGTCCATGTGCATTATATTCGCCAGCTTGTTTCCGAAGGACAGGTGGAGTTATCTTATATTACGTCCGAAGAACAGACAGCTGATTTGTTGACTAAAGCTGTTGCTACCGCCCGACACTGGTTTCTTGCTCACAAATTGATTTTGCGTAAGCATCATCAATTTGAGGGAGGCTGTTAGAAGTTCATGTATTAGATTGTAATTAGCCATCCTATCTTTTGCGGTTAATTACAATCCTTCCCCCTTAGGTCTAGCTTGCGGCCAGTATATATAGATTGTGCTGGTCATTATGTAAACTTAAGGGAATTACAGATGACGTAATAAGATTGACTCCGAGAGGCTTCACCCTCTCCGTGGATTAGTCTCAACCATATTCGTTGAGGATACCACGTAAATCGCGTGTTCGTTTATGATTTATTTGATTATTTGACATTTAATAGTAAAAATTAGGAAATTAACATGCTAGCTATTTTGTAAAATTGATATTATATTTGTTAATGCCATATAATCATGACAAGAATATTAGAGAACAAGAGATTGTTGGAATTTAAACTTTGAAGCTTTGTTAATTATTATTATCATACTGCAACCGACCAACGGGCCGGGGTACAATCTAGTATAGACAACCGATCAAGGGATATCCATGATATATATAGACAACCGTACATCGATGTGCATGAACTGTTACATACATGATATATATCTCTCAAGTATAGAAAGAAATGAATACAAGATGGTCAAATACAAATTAAAGAAAACGAATAAAAGAATGAAAGTAAAAAGGAACAGAGGGTCAAATTTTAGAATTTGTATGTAGGTTAAATAAATAAATAAAATAAAATAACTATGTACGAATCTTTTACCAGCAGTCTAGCTAGCTAGCTAATAGTGGCGGATATAAACGTCGTACTCGATGATTGTATTGGCGCCGGTTTGCATATCCATGTAGTAGGTCTTGAGCATAGCGTATCCGCGAGAGAAACGGAAAGCGCCGGTGCCACCAACGATCAGTGGCGGAGGCAGCATTTCAAACCACCCCTGTCCTCTTTTCATAACTTAAATATATAAGTATCTAATAAAAGAATTATTTAATAAAAAATAAATTATATCCAAATAATTCATTCTTAAATTAAAAAAACCGATTATACTATCATACTTTTCAGAAACAACTACGAAGGAATTTCATATAGTGAAAGAAGCGCAAAAACATTCGTTATCTACACTATTATATAAGTCTCTTTCAATGTATCTTACTAAACAAGCATTAGCAAACTAGTCGCCAAATCGACTTGAAAACTTGTTCTTAATATAACTCAAAGCTGAAAATGCTCTTTTTACACTTGTAGTTGTAATTGGTAGATCAAAACTAGTGGGATTGCCGTTGTCGCTAGACAATTTTAGGGTTGTTGGGGAAAGATCGAATAGGCATAAGGAGAAAAGAGACCCGATTAGTTCTTATTGCAATTAGAATTTCGTTTATTGTATAATAAATTAATTTTATGTCAATTTTGGACAAATAATGAGTTGTGTTGTAGTGACAAAGTACTCTAATACTACCTATACGTGTTGTGTTCCATCATCAATATAAATATATATGGCGTATTTTTGTTCCACCGGAATTTACCCCTGTCCCAGGACAAGGCCAAAAGGCCCTGCCTCCGCCACTGCCAACGATGGCCAGCTCCCTGGGGTTTGTGAAAATTGGGTTCCTACCCAGCAAACAGAAGCTGCTCCCTTTGTACTTCCCCTGAGTCAGCGCGAAGTTGAACACCATAGCAAATGACATCTCCGTCTGCGATGCGCTGCCGTACATCCCTTGCGCGCTTCCCACCACCGTCGAGTTCTCCAGGCTTGGGCCGGAAGTCAGCGGGTCGTCGGCTATGGTCAGGCGGCCGAACAGGCTGGCCGGGTCTCGAAGATCGACGGGTTGGATTTTGGGGTTGATTGGGACGGCGGTTGCACGTGGGCCGGCGATGTTGTTGTGGTAGTAGAAGTGGAGGTGCGTTATCTTCTCCGATTTGGCTGAAGTTGCTGTGGGGATAATAATTATGAAGTTGGCTGATGAGAAAATTAGGAGCTGGATAATGTAGACAAGGAAGTGATTGGCCATAATGGTGATGCGTGGCGGGGTGATACTTTTGGTAATCTTTATCGTCTTTTTGGTCGGAGATTGCGTTGCTAGCTAGGCCTTGGAGGTGTTTTGGGTTGGGATTTCGGTTAATGCTAATGATGATGATTGAGTACTTTCCAGTTGCGATGTTGGCTTGGGTTTTATAGGCCTAGCTATTTAATGATAATTAAACTAATGCATTGTTGCGGCTGTCGGGCCGCGGCGGTTTCGTTTTGGGTTGACCGCCACTGGTTTTTGTTGGTGGGTATTTTTAATTTTTTATAGTTACGTTGAGATTATGAGAAGTCAAAACCTAAATGAATATATATATATATATATATATATATATATATATATATATATATATATATATATATATATATATATATATATATTCTACTCGTTTTTTCGCCACGCAACGTTAGCAAGTTGGACGAGGTCCATCTTAGGCTCTGGAGGACAACATGTGTTAGCACCACATGCTACCAATAGTATAGCAAATGCTCAAAGCTAATTTTAGTCAATAGTGTTAATTACTAATATATTTTCCATTAAACTAAAGCCTAATTTGTGAAATCAACCTATTGTATACAATATATATTTTAATTTCTACACAAACCATATTATCTATCATTTTTACAGTTTGTCGTTAGTGTTTTTAGAGTTCAAATTACATTGATTTGTATACAATACGTACTTGGTGCGCTAATGAAAGACCTGGTTGCGAGCAATATGAAGTGCAACGTGATTATCACAGTACAAAGGAGTGGGACGCACTACAGGAAAAAGATCCTTTAATCATGGGAAATCCGGTGTTTAAAAGCTTGTTTACCGTGAATAATAATTTTAGTCACGGGAAATTTACCGTAATATAAAGCTTTGTGTCTAATTGTATACCGTGACTAGTTATAACCGTCACGGTGTAGTTTCCCATGATTCTTAGTACCTATTTATCACGGGAAAAATCATGTTTGATGTCAAATTTTAGCGCATATAACCAAAAAAACAAACATTTAAATACATGATGCGCTTCTTTTAAGACGAAATTAACTGTGACAAAATCTTTTCCCGTGACTAGTTGTCAATTCAATAGTCATGGTACATGCTACATATATTCACTGTTTCTCCAGTGATTAAATACTAATCACTAGCACGATATTTTTCGTAGCTAACTCCTCTATACATATCTTAACATATAAATTGAAAAGACAAACTCTTGTAACATAAGATTCTAACACTAATATCAATACAATGGATACAAATATCATTCCTTGATCAATGGTAATTAACATACAATTAAAAAACTCATTCTTGTAGCATGAAAATCAAACCTAATGAGACCTTCAAGCCTTTTCCACACTACAAACATTATTCAAATGAGCTCAAAGTTACTTGCTCTCCAGCAAACTCAATTGTTGAAGCAATGAGAACACAAGAAGTAATGACAAAACAAAGTAGAAGCAAATCATAATAGCTCAACTACAAACAACTTAATAAAAGCTCAGCCCTTAAACTTCAACCTTACCAGTTACCACTATCCAAACCAAGCAATAAATATATGGCATTAGTGATTTCTGCAATTCATGTACAACCACCTACCTAATATAATTCATCAATTGAAACAACTTAGTACTATCGAATAGAGACTTGCCTTTACTGCCATATGAGGAATTGCAGAACAAGACTAAAATTTCGACCACCAATCGCCAAGTTGAACCTGAATCACATTAAGGTTAAGTAAGGACATATATTGGACACTCAAATTTCAATGAGAACATACATTAACCTACTGCTTCTGTTGCTATAGCTTCTACTGGAGCTAGTTGTTGTGCTGCAGTTGATGCTTGCCATTTGCTCTACATGACTACAACACACTATAAACAATCAATACTACTGCTTGGAGCCTAGTCCACTGTCCAATTTGATGAATTAAGGGCTCCAAGTACTGTTCCCTGCAATAACCTACTTAGTATGCTTTGAATTGACAATCTTTATGGTGATATGCAACCTAAGGAGGTAGATGTAGCACTACAAAGGATGTTGAAGTATAAGATTTTTCCTATCTGTCTCTCTGCTGTGCTGGTTGATTTTGTGAACTAGCGTATTTAGGACCGTTGATTCATGTGGTATTGATGATTCCTATTATGTTGTGTTGTGGACTCGTGCATTGAAAAATGTGCTTAATTGTGTAAAATGACAAAAGCAGTTGTTCTCCATGTCAAAACTTTGAAATTTTAAGACATGGGATAAGCCCAACGTGTGTGGCACCGTTCATTGTACAAAATCGGGTTTTGGAAGAGATTTTAGTGATCATTCGTGGTGTAGGCCTACGAGGTGAAACTAAGTCGTCTCTGGTACAAGTAAAAATTCCACCTTTGAACGGTTTGCCTACTTGAGGATATTTTTTTAAGGGCATGGATAGAGCTTCCGACACCCTTTAATTTCATTGACCCTCCACACGAAGTGAGGAAAAGGAGTTAAAAGAAGTACTTTGGCGACTGACAGATGTACAGAAATTGCTCTTGCTCACCTAATAAGGGCCTACCGCGCATAAAAACTGTAGTTGGAACCCCAGTAAAGTAAAGCTAAAGAAAAAAAAAAGAATGAAATAATACGAAAAAAGGGGTTCCAACAAGTGAAATGAAATGAAAGAGCACCCGATACAAAGAGTCCTTGGTTGTTAAATTGTGTGAGTCTCCTTATACAAAGAGTCCTTGATTGTGCTATCTTACTTCCACTGCTTCTCATGATCGTGGTTTGAGTCTAGTACTCGAATAGGGTACGTTTTAGAAGACCAGTTAACCTCGTAAGTTGCTTAATGACCTAGGAAATCCTCTACCAATGATCGAGGTTGCATGTTGCTATAAAGGTCTGGAGACATGCATTGGTTTGAGTCAGGTTAGCTTGGTGGAATTTGATGACTCGATATTTACACATGTTTTTGTACATCATTCTTATACTTTGTGAGCCTCGTCTCTAGTGCTTTAAGCTGATTTCACGCTAGTTTGTTCTTGTTTGAGATATTTCAGGTCCTAGTACATGAATGAAGGTTTGGGGACAAATTCGGGGTCAATTGGACAAAGTTGGGACGTTTGACAGAGAGTTGATGAAACCGCGCGACAAACTCATGATTTCACGCGGCCGTGCAACATGGCCGTGCGCGGGCAAGAGCCAATTCTACGCGGCCGTACGGTGTGGCCGAGTAGCTGATTTTTACGCGGCCATGGTCGTACTGGCTGTGCAAGGGCACATTTTGGCCGTACGGAATGTCCAGGGGGTCTACACCAGCAAGGCTTAATTCTACACAGTCGTTTGATGGCCGTGTGACTTCCTTCAACCAACTAAGTGCAACGCCTCGTTTTGGGAGTTACACGGGCAGTCTGGATTCTACACGGCCGTGGAGCTTGGCTATGTAATCAGGCAGAACTGGGTTTTAACCTAATTTTGGGTCTTTGAGAGGGAAATCGACTTTTGGAGCAAAAAAAAGAGTCCTAGAGAGAGAAAGTGCGAAGAACAAACCCTAGGAGCTATTTGGAGTGGATTTCTCACTATTGAAGCCCAAATTGCATTCCCAGGAGTGAAGATTGACATCACAGAGCAGATTATTCCCATCTTTATGAAAATGACTGCTTTGAATTCTGTTTTCCTCTCTCTCTCTCTCTCTCTCTATGGAGTAGACCCTTGTCTCACTTGGGTATGAAGTATCCTAGTTCCATGTTTTAGGGATCATGATTATAATGACGTTTGGATTGATATATTGTTTGATTATAATCGATTGAAGTGTGTTTATTGAGGTAATTGAATCATGATCAACTTCTGATTTTTGCTGCAACTTGAGATAGCTAAAATTTGATTAGGTTGTTAGAGCTTCTTCAATTGATAGGAGTGAATTGATTGTACGAGAGACAGTCAATTCACTGCTTTGTACTAGAATCTATTTCCATTAGTGGAGTTCTATGTTAATTGCCTTAGCGTTCTATCCGGTGAAGACTAGTCGTCTGCCACGTAGTCTGTCTGAGAGAGCTTGGTCAACTTAAGAGATTCCAAGCTGCTATCGGATCTTCCGTAGTTTAATCAACATTAAATCAACCAAAGGAAATTACAAGTTGGACCTAACTATGGATCTAGGGGGACTCATTCCCGAGTGGCTCCTGTCTTGCTTCAGAAAACTGGACAATTTACTGCTTTCTTTCTACTTTAGTCCCACTAAACTCAGTCCCCCTAGATAATATAAGTTCACGGAGTATGCAGTAGAACTAGACCCCGAGTTGATAAATTAAACTTACCCACTATTCTGCATTTCCATTCTGCGATTACACTTGGTCGTAGTTTGGTGTTGTGTTTTAGCGTGTCATTCGTTTCTGAAACACCCTAACTCGGCCGGGTACTAGTTTTACCAAAATACACTTAATAAACCGTGAAAAAAATAAGAACTGAAACTACATAGAAAAATAGCAGAAACATTTCATAAATAACTTTAATAAATACCGAAAACAGCTGTCATTACTTAAACACAAAGCCTGACACTTGGGCAAACTCAAACCTTAAAATCTCAAAATGATCTACAGCCTATACTCATAATCATAAACTGAAACAACTAAAAAGTCTCTAATGCTACTGCTTCCTGAAAGCCTTGACCAGACATTCTCCGTGGCGTTTGTACTTCCCTACTCTAGCTGGCTTCCCTCAAACTGCTCCTCTCGAATTGCTGCTCTCTAATCCTCTTAGTCCTCTTCAAACTAGTGAGTGCGTTGGGTTCAGTCTACGCCCTTACATTTGAAATCTACAGTATTTCGTACTTGAGAACTTTACTTAAACACTTAACTTTAATTGGTGGAAGTTGTTTGTACTTCCAATCTTAAAATCTTAACTCTTAAACTTTGAGGGAGTTGAAGTTACTCTCCTCTCTTAAATACTTGACTAACAAGGGGATCCCTCACTAGCTAGTCCGGTTTCCCAACTCATACGTATGAGAAGCCATCCAGGCTTTCCTTAAACTT